ACTGGTCTTGTGTTATTGTACTGTACTAGTCCTTTGTGTTATTGTACTGTACTGGTCTTATGTGTTATTGTACTGTACTGGTCTTGTGTGTTATTGTACTGTACTGGTCTTGTGTGTTATTGTACTGTACTGGTCATGTGTGTTATTGTACTGTACTGGTCTTGTGTGTTATTGTATTGTACTGGTCTTCTGTGTTATTGTACTGTACTGGTTTTGTGTGTTATTGTACTGTACTGGTCTTGTGTGTTATTGTACTGTACTGGTCTTGTGTGTTATTGTACTGTACTGGTCATGTGTGTTATTGTACTGTACTGGTCTTCTGTGTTATTGTACTGTACTGGTCATGTGTGTTATTGTACTGTACTGGTCTTCTGTGTTATTGCACTGCTCTGGTCTTGTGTGTTATTGTACTGTACTGGTCTTGTGTGTTATTGTACTGTACTAGTCTTGTGTGTTATTGTACTGTACTGGTCTTGTGTTATTGTACTGTACTAGTCCTTTGTGTTATTGTACTGTACTGGTCTTGTGTGTTATTGTACTGTACTGGTCTTGTGTGTTATTGTACTGCTCTGGTCTTGTGTGTTATTGTACTGTACTAGTCTTGTGTGTTATTGTACTGTACTGGTCTTGTGTGTTATTGTACTGTACTAGTCCTTTGTGTTATTGTACTGTACTGGTCTTGTGTGTTATTGTACTGTACTGGTCTTGTGTGTTATTGTACTGTACTAGTCGTGTGTGTTATTGTACTGTACTGGTCTTGTGTGTTATTGTACTGTACTGATCTTATCTGTTATTGTACTGTACTGGTCTTATGTGTTATTGTACTGTACTGGTCTTATGTGTTATTGTACTGTACTGGTCATCTGTGTTATTGCACTGTACTGGTCTTGTGTGTTATTGTACTGTACTGGTCTTGTGTGTTATTGTACTCTACTGGTCTTGTGTGTTATTTTACTGTACTGGTCTTACGTGTTATTGTACTGTACTGGTCGTCTGTGTTATTGCACTGTACTGGTCTTCTGTGTTATTGTACTTTATTGGTCTTGTGAGTTATTGAACTGTTCTTGTCTTGTGTGTTATCGTCCTGAACTGGTCTTGTGTGTTATTGTACTCTAATGGTCTTCTGTGTTATTGTACTGTACTAATCCTCTGTTTTATTGTACTGTTCAGGTCTTCTGTGTTACTGTACTGTACTGGTCTTCTGTGCTATTGTAATATGCTGGATTTCTGTGTTATTGTACTGTACTGGTCTTCTGTGTGATTGTCTTGTACTGGTCTTGTGAGTTATTGTACTCTACTGGTTTTCTGTGTTATTGTACTGTACTGGTTTTCTGTATTATTGTTTTGTACTGGTTTTCTGTGTTATTGTACTGTACTGGTTTTCTGTGTTATTGTACTGTACTGGTTTTCTGTGTTATTGTATATTACTGGACTTCTGCGCTCTATGGAATATTATCCCATTCCAAACTACCGTTCCTCCATTTCCCCCCACAATATTATTACAGTCACAACCAAAGCTTCGCCTTGAAGCCAAACATAATGCCTTAAGGTGTATTGATAACTTAGTCACACAAATTAGTTACACAAATTATTTTCGTTGATTGTTTTGTTCACCAGTCCAATGGTGCAGCTGGTAGTGTTGCTGTTGTCATACACTGGTGCAGCTGGTAGTGCTGCTGTTGTCATACACTGGTGCAGCTGGTAGTGCTGCTGTTGTCATACACTGGTGCAGCTGGTAGTGCTGCTGTTGTCATACAGAGTGATGGTTCTCATAAAAAAATTGGAGCACGCATCAATAACTCGGCCTCTACCCTTCAAACAGAACTGCTTGCCATACTTCTTGCACTCAATTGCGTCCACGTATCTGAGGTTGACACTTTAACTGTAACTGATTCTCTCTCATCCATAAATGCTCTCAACTCATTAAGTATATGTGTGGGTGATGAAAGGTTTGAAAAACCGACAAGTTGAAGATTGAGACACTTATGCAACATATGTTGCGTAAGTGTCTCAATCTTCATTAAGTATAAATTGTGGTATGCTTGTGTCAGAAGCCAGACACAGGTATGGTAGGATTGTGGAGTCAGAGTGCACATGCTGTGGATTTCTCCTCACATTGGTCTTCAGATGTATGATAGAAATGACGAACTGGCTAAGTTGTATGCTTTTGAAAGAGGTGGTAGATTACAATCTTGGATTGTCAGTTAGCAGTTTGAGAACAATAATACGAAAAGAACTTCAACTAAATTTTATTGACTTAAGTCTCAGGGAGACTGACACCAGTCAGTCCATCTATCATCATCATTCTATCGTGCAGGAGGAGCCACATGTCTATGGTGCATCCAACAAAATAAGCAGACTCTTGGATGTCACTACCGCCCGGCTCCGGCTGGGTTACAAGTATCTTCGGCAGGTTAAATCACCACCACCAGATGTAGACCAAACGAAATATCTCACCTGCGTCATTATGTACTGGAGTGTGATGAAATTAATGAATTCGGAGACAACTCACTCAAAAATGTTCAAGATATGTCAAAATATTTTATCCATAATGGTATATTACAGGGCATTCTGGAAAAATACCCTGACTTTGCACCCTGTAAATAAAGCATTACCACGTGTGTGTGTATGTGTGTGTGTGTGTATGTGTGTGTGTGTGTGTGTGTGTGTGTGTGTGTGTGTGTGTGTGTGTGTGTGTGTGTGTGTGCGTATGTGTGTATGTGTGTATGTATGTGCTTGTGTGCTTGTTTGTGTGTGTATTTGTGTGCTCATACATGCGTGAGTGCGTGTGCTCGTGTGTGTGTGTGTGTGTGGGCTCACCTATTTGTGTGTGTGTGACCCAACAATTTAAAATTTTCACTTATAATTCCTTACAGTTCTGACCGGGTGTGGATGTGTGAACTGCTCATTACTTCATAATTTGTTCATGACTGTAACCACGTATAAACATAAGTAAGTAAATTTACTTACTTACATGATTCATTACTTTTGTAACTTGTGACTTCATTACCTTTGTACCTTGTTCAGCTGTCAGAACTTTGGGGCCCAGTCCCTGGACCCATTATGTACCTCTTTGGACTACCACGCAAAGGTGGGTATGGGGTAGTGAAATGCGGCGGTTGGTATCCGTAGAATTTGTCGGTGCTTTCTCCATGAAGACGACCCACTGGCCTCCAGAGAGGCCAGTGATAACTGTGATAACTGATATCAGAGATAACTCTGAGGCTGACAGTGATCGCAAATATTAATTTTGTGTTTATTATATGTAAATTATTACATATAAACTTATTATATATAAACAAAATTAGTGATTTCTTAATCTAGATTAATTTTGTGTAATATTCAGTGTGAGGCGGTGAATAAGTGGACTGCAGGTTCATGTTGCACTGAATCGGCTACTTTAACATTATCTTTAATTATCATTATTAATAATGAATTATACGCTTGATACCTACAGAGCTAAAATGTAGAACTTGACAAACCTGACAGACACATCGGGATACGTTTATAGGATATGTGTTGAGAAACCAGTTCATGTTGACAATAGGGAGTCACTTATGGATAAAAACGTCCCAGGTGCAAAGTTTCTAATATTACAGAAATAAGAAAAATATACATTCTTATACTCACCGGTACACACACACACACACACACACACACACACACACACACACACACACACACACACACATACACACACACACACACACACACACACACACACACACACACACACCAAAAACACACACACACAAACACACACACACCCACACACACATACACACACACACACACACACACACACACACACACACACACACACACACACACACACACACACACACACACACACACACACAAAGTACCATGGTGTACAGCTCACCAGTACCATGGTATACAACTCGCTAGAACTACCATGGTGTACAACTCACCAGTACCATGCTGTACAACTCACCAGTACCATGGTGTACAACTCACCAGTACCATGGTGCAGATCTCACTAGTACAATTACCATAGTGTACACCTCACTAGAACAACTACCATGGTGTACAACTCACCAGTACCATGGTGTACAACTCACTAGTACAAGTACCATGGTGTATACCTCACTAGAACAGCTACCATGGTATGCAACTCATCAGTACCATTGTGTACAACTCACTAGAACAAGTACCATGGTGTACAACTCACTAAAACAACTACTATGGTGTACAACTCACTAAAACAACTACCATGGTGTACAACTCACCAGAACAAGTACCATGGTGTACAACTCACCAGAACAAGTACCATGGTGTACAACTCACCAGAACAAGTACCATGGTGTACAACTCACCAGACAAGTACCATGGTGTAAAACTAACCAGAACAAGTACCATGGTGTACAACTCACCAGAACAAGTACCATGGTGTACAACTCACCAGAACAAGTACCATGGTGTACAACTCACCAGAACAAGTACCATGGTGTAAAACTCACCAGAACAAGTACCATGGTGTACAACTCACCAGAACAAGTACCATGGTGTACAACTCACCAGAACAAGTACCATGGTGTACAACTCACCAGAACAAGTACCATGGTGTACAACTCACCAGAACAAGTACCATGGTGTACAACTCACCAGAACAAGTACCATGGTGTACAACTCACTAACCCATCAATAATATACATTAATCAAAGACGGTCTACACAACACAGTGAGTAGTTACAAACATTCAGAGACAAACACAAACACAACTCGAGCAGAGTTGTATGGTCAAATGGACCAATTTCATCCAACAATTAGAATGGAAAAGTTATCCTCTTCCTTAGACTGAGTTCTAACAGTAAACAAACATATAATGCCATTAATGAACAGACGTATATTACACAAGATACTCATGATGTAAATTTTCCTTTAACAGAGCGTTTAACACATTCCAGTAAAATAATTATTAACGGTTTCACTTCAGACTGTAAAATTAAGTCACTATAAAAAAAGGAAAAAAAAAAACAAGACTCCGCCGGGAGTCGAACCCGAGTCTGCTGCTTCAGAGGCAGCCGTGCTGACCGCTGCACCACAGAGTCGTAATGTTAAGCTATGGGGTTTTACTATATAGCTCAATTGTAGTGTTGATAAAGTAATGGCCTTTATTAGGCCTGGCTTCTGGTTCTGTTGGTACCCACCTTGACGGTACTAATGACCAGTACTTCTCTTCCTGCTGGTACCAACGTGGAGGGTACTAGTGACCAGTGCTTACCTCCTTGCTCGTACCAACGTAGAGGGTACTAGTGACCAGTGCTTCTCTCCCTGCTAGCACGAGGGTGGAGGGAACTAGTGACCAGTACTTCTCTTCCTGCTGGTACTAACGTGGAGGGTACTAGTGACCAGTTCTTTTCTCCCTGCTAGCACGAGGGTGGAGGGTACTAGTGACCAGTACTTCTCTTCCTGCTGGTACTAACGTGGAGGGTACTAGTGACCAGTACTTCTCTTCCTGCTGGTACCAACGTGGAGGGTACTAGTGACCAGTGCTTCTCTCCCTGCTAGCACGAGGGTGGAGGGTACTAGTGGCCAGTACTTGTCTTCCTGCTGGTTCCAACGTGGAGGGTACTAGTGACCTGTACTTCTCTTCCTGCTGGTTCCAACGTGGAGGGTACTAGTGACCAGTACTTCTCTTCCTGCTGGTACCAACGTGGAGGGTACTACTGACCAGTGCTTCCCTCCCTGCTAGCACCAACCTGGAGAGTACTAGTGACCAGTACAGAGAAATACAAGTCTAGTCGAGCAACATACAAGGACAGTTCAGGTGCAGGAACTAAGTCAGATTCACTTTCTGTAATCCATTTAAATAACAAATTTTCTTGTAAGACACAGTCTGAGGAACGACCTGTAATGTGCCCTCGTTAGTTGTTGCTTAAGATGGAAAGGTGACAACAGCTGGAATGTAAATGACAACTGCAGGTCAAAGGTGTTTCCCTAAGGTGCATAACAGCTGAAAGTGAAACGTTAACTAAAGGTGTATCTTAAGTGTGAACTTCAGGTAATGGTTTAAAGTAAACTACAAGTGTTAACTACAAGTGTGAACTTCAGGTAATGGTTTAAAGTAAACTACAAGTGTGAACTACAAGTGTGAACTTCAGGTAATGGTTTAAAGTAAACTACAAGTGTGAACTACAAGTGTGAACTTCAGGTAATGGTTCAAAGTAAACTACAAGTGTGAACTACAAGTGAAGATGTGAGGTGAACTTCAAGTAGAAATATAATGGGAAATACAGGACAGATGTTGTTGCTGTTTCATGTTTCCTCTATTTTCACTATCTTCATTGAACTCCACCATCACTACCTTTCTTCATCTTCTGCTTCTTCTTCTTCTTCTTCTTAATATTATTATTATTATTATTATTATTATTATTATTATTATTATTATTATTATTATTATTATTATTATTATTATTGTTATCATTATTATTATTATTATTATTATTATTATTATTTTATTATTATTATTATTTATTTTTTTTTTATTATCACACTGGCCGATTCCCACCAAGGCAGGGTGGCCCGAAGAAGAAAAACTTTCACCATCATTCACTCCATCACTGTCTTGCCAAAGGGTGCTTTACACTACAGTTTTTAAACTGCAACATTAACACCCCTCCTTCAGAGTGCAGGCACTGTACTTCCCATCTCCAGGACTCAAGTCCGGCCTGCCGGTTTCCCTGAACCCCTTCATAAATGTTACTTTGCTCACACTCCAACAGCACGTCAAGTATTAAAAACCATTTGTCTCCATTCACTCCTATCAAACACGCTCACGCATGCCTGCTGGAAGTCCAAGCCCCTCGCACACAAAACCTCCTTTACCCCCTCCCTCCAACCTTTCCTAGCCCGACCCCTACCCCGCCTTCCTTCCACTACAGACTGATACACTCTTGAAGTCATTCTGTTTCGCTCCATTCTCTCTACATGTCCGAACCACCTCAACAACCCTTCCTCAGCCCTCTGGACAACAGTTTTGGTAATCCCGCACCTCCTCCTAACTTCCAAACTACGAATTCTCTGCATTATATTCACACCACACATTGCCCTCAGACATGACATCTCCACTGCCTCCAGCCTTCTCCTCGCTGCAACATTCATCACCCACGCTTCACACCCATATAAGAGCGTTGGTAAAACTATACTCTCATACATTCCTCTCTTTGCCTCCAAGGACAAAGTTCTTTGTCTCCACAGACTCCTAAGTGCACCACTCACTCTTTTTCCCTCATCAATTCTATGATTCACCTCATCTTTCATAGACCCATCCGCTGACACGTCCACTCCCAAATATCTGAATACGTTCACCTCCTCCATACTCTCTCCCTCCAATCTGATATTCAATCTTTCATCACCTAATCTTTTTGTTATCCTCATAACCTTACTCTTTCCTGTATTCACCTTTAATTTTCTTCTTTTGCACACCCTACCAAATTCATCCACCAATCTCTGCAACTTCTCTTCAGAATCTCCCAAGAGCACAGTGTCATCAGCAAAGAGCAGCTGTGACAACTCCCACTTTGTGTGTGATTCTTTATCTTTTAACTCCACACCTCTTGCCAAGACCCTCGCATTTACTTCTCTTACAACCCCATCTATAAATATATTAAACAACCACGGTGACATCACACATCCTTGTCTAAGGCCTACTTTTACTGGGAAAAAATTTCCCTCTTTCCTACATACTCTAACTTGAGCCTCACTATCCTCGTAAAAACTCTTCACTGCTTTCAGTAACCTACCTCCTACACCATACACTTGCAACATCTGCCACATTGCCCCCCTATCCACCCTGTCATACGCCTTTTCCAAATCCATAAATGCCACAAAGACCTCTTTAGCCTTATCTAAATACTGTTCACTTATATGTTTCACTGTAAACACCTGGTCCACACACCCCCTACCTTTCCTAAAGCCTCCTTGTTCATCTGCTATTCTATTCTCCGTCTTACTCTTAATTCTTTCAATTATAACTCTACCATACACTTTACCAGGTACACTCAACAGACTTATCCCCCTATAATTATTATTATTATTATTATTATTATTATTATTATTATTATTATTATTATTATTTCTGTTTTTTTTTTTTTTGTGAAGAGACTGAACAAATAAATTTCAGTCAGCATCAGATCAGTTTATTCCACAATACACAAATAACCCGCACATAGAAGACAGGAGCTTACGATGACGACGTTTCGGTCCGACTTGGACCATTTACAAAGTCACACTAACTTTGTAAATGGTCCAAGTCGGACCGAAACGTCGTGGTAAGATCCTCTCTTCTATGTGCGGGTTATTTGTGTATCGTTCCAGTCACGGTATTGTGTCTTTTTTTGTTATTTATTCCACAACACTGTTGGACTTACACTGTTGAACTTACACTGTTGAACTTATACTGCTGGACTTACACTGTTGACCTTACATTGTTGGAATTGCACTATTGGATTTGCACTATTGGACTTATACTATTGGACTTACACTATTGGACTTACATTATTGGACTTACACTATTGGGATCTCTTAAAACCCTTCATTTTTTTTCTACTAAAGCAGAAACGAGACGAATTTATAACAACAGCTGGAAAATACTGGCAGGTCTGGAAATAAAGAAATGACACACTGCAGGAACAGGACAGGACAGGAACAGGACAAGACAAGAGCACAGAGACAGAACAAGATTGTTTTCCTGTTATAACCTGTTTTTCCATCTCGTTTTCCATCTCCTTGGACTGTTTTTTCTGTCATTTTCCATCGCCCTTTACTGCTTTCCGTCATTTCCCATCGCACTGAATTGTCATCCGTGACATTTTTCCTGGGCCTGGGCGGCTTTCCCTGTAATTTTCCATCGACCTGGGCTGTTTTCTCCCGTCATTTTTTATTGCCGTGGACATTTTTTTGTAATTTTCCATAGACATGGAAGGATTTCCCTGTCATTATCCATCTATCAGATTGATTTCTTTGTAATTTATCACCATGAACCGTTTTCAACTGTCATTTTCCTTCGCAATAGACGGTTTTCCATGTCATTTTCCATTGTCTTGAATTGTTTTCCTTGTCATCTTCCATCGCTCTAAACTATTTCACCCATCACATTTAATTGCTGTCGACATGTTTTTCCCACTTTCCGTTTTTCTGGATGACTTTTCCTCCTATATTCCATCGTTCTGGTTAGGCTTCCCTCTCATATTCCTTCGTTCTGATCAGGTTTCCTTCTTATATTCCATCGTTCTGTACAGTTTTCCCTGTCATATTCCAGCATTCTCGACCACTTTCCCTCTCAAATTCCATCGTTCTGGGCAGGTTTCTCTGTCACATTAAATCATTCCTGATGGATTTACTTGTCATATTCCATCTTTCTGGACGGATTTCCCTGTCATATTCCATCGTTCAGGTCAGTTTTCCCTCTCATATTCCATCCTTCTAGTTAGGTTTTTCCTTTCATATTCCATCGTTCTCGACGTGTTTTCCTGTCATATTTCATCACTATGGACGGGTTTCAGTGTCATATTCCATCGTCCTTGACGGGTTACCAATCCATATTCAAGCATGCTGGACGGGCTTTCCCGTCATTTTCCTTTGTCGTGTCATATTCTACCGCCATGGACAGTTTACCCGCTCATATTACATTGTTCTGGACGGGTTTTCCTCCCATATTTCATCGCCTGTCATATCCCATCTTTGTAGATGGGTTTTATATCATATTTCCCCGCCAGGGGCAGTTTTATCCTGTCGTTTTCCGTAACTCTAGACAGGTTTCCCTGTCATATTCCATCGCACTAGACTGGTATCCTTGTCATTTTCCATCGTTCCGTATGGGGTTTCCCTGATATATTCCATCAACCTGAACAGGTTTCCGTAGTTTTCCATCATCCGGAATTTTTCTCCTGTCATATTCCCTCGCGCTGAACATGTTTTTGTGTCATAATCATTCGCACTCAATGGTTTCCCTTGTCATTTTCCATCGCTGTGAAGCGTTTTCCCCGTCATTTTCCTTCACCCTAGTCAGATTTCCCTGTCATATTCGATTGTCCTGAACGGGCTTTCC